GCCCGCGCGGGCCCGGGCGCGCGGGCGCCCGGGGGCGGCGGCGGCCGCCCGTACGCGTCGCGCCGCGGCCCGCCGGGCGCGTCGTCGTAGCGCGGCGCCTCCCCGCGGCTCGGGGGCCAGTAGGGGTAGGCGCCGCGCTTCATGGGCTGGAAGCCTTTTTGCGGCTTCTCGTTGCCGGGAGGCGCGGGCGGCGGCCGCCGCGCGGCGCGGCTACCGGTGGCGCGCGGCTCGCGCCGCCGGCGGGCAGGGCGAACTTCTCGAAAAGTTATCGGGTGCTCAGACCCGATTCCGCCAGTAAAGCAGTGAGACAGCCCGGGCAGCCTCGGGCTTCGAGGTCGATCGTGATGTTGCCTTAGATCTTGCTTTCAGCTCTGCAACTTGCCTTATTGATGCAGTGGCAAAGCTCCCGTCGGCGTCCGCCCGCGTCCGCACCATGGTTCTCGTGAAGGGCGACTGGGACCTCGTCGAAGGGCCGAGCGGGAGCGCCCCGTCGAACACCGCCCTGTCGGAGAGCGCCGCGGCCCTCGAGGCCCGCGCCGAAGAGATCGGCCGGGACCTCGCGCGCGACCCGGCGCTGCGGCGGCGCGCGGGCCTCGGCGCGGACGAGACCGAGGACGAGACCGAGGACGAGACCGCGGCGCTCCGGCACCGGTGCGAGGCCATGCAGCGCGAGATCGACGAGCTCAAGGCCGCGCGCGCGCGCGAGCGAGAAACGGCCGACCGCGAGGCCTTCGAAGACTACGCGGTCCCGCCGCTCCGCGACCCCGAGGTCGACGAGGCGCAGGACGCGCCCCTGCACCCGCTCGAGACCGTCGCCCTCGGCGTCGGCGCCTGCGTCGTCGTCGGCGTCGGTGCCGCGCTCTTCGCGAGCCGCACCGCGGCCGTCGGCGCGTTAGCGGTCGGCGCGACGCTCGGCGTCCTCGCCTCCGAGGCCCTCGGCCGGCCCGTCAAGGAGTAAGTTTACGTCGCTTCGATCTTTCGATAGTCCGCCGTCGGCGCCGCCGCGCGGCGACGACCGCGACGAGGGCGAGGCTCGACAAAAGCGCCGCGAGGAGGCCGAGCTCCAAAGCGCCGAGGCACACCTTGCTGACGCTAAAACATTTGTCCTCCTTGGCGCAGAGGGGCTCGAAGCCGGCGCCGCAGGACGCGGGCGACCACGCGGCGGCGTCGACGGCCGCCCCGGCGTCGGGCCGCGCGTCGACGAGCGCGACGCCGGCCTGCGGGAGCCACGCGACGGCCGCTCCGAGCGCCGCCTCGAAGGCGTCGCCCCGGAGCTTGTGGCCCGCGCCCGGGAGCTCGACGAGCGTCGCGGAGCCGCCGTAGTGCGCCGCGATCCACCGGCTGTTGGCGACGTCGTTGACGTCGTCCGCGTCGCCGTGGACCGCGAGGACGGGCCGGCCGTCGCCCGAGCGCCAGGCGCCCTCGCCGAAGACGCAGTCGACGCCGTCCGTCGTGCCGTGGACCGCGATCGCGCCGTCGACGGCCGCGTCCGCGCCGCCGCCGTACGCGCCGTCGCCGAGCGCCGCGAGCGCGAGCGCGGACGTCGCGCCCGCGGACGAGCCCGCCGCGAGGACGCAGCTGAAGTTCGTCGCCCGCGCCCAGCGGGCCGCCGCGCGGAGGTCGCGCGTCGCCGCGTACATGGCCGGGGGGCTGACGACCCAGCCGTTGGCGAAGCGGTTCGCGTAGGCCGCGTCGACCCAGGCCGCCGGCGCGTGGCCCCGGTCCTTCGCGAGCCGGTACGCGACGGACGACGGTGACGCCGCGGCGCGCGAGGTGGCGCGCGAGCGACGCGTCGAAGCAGCTCGAGCACGGCGCGTTCGACTCGTAGCCGCCGCGGTGCGCGAGGACCGCGGCGACGCGCGACGGGCAGCCGCCGGCGTCGCAGCGCGGCCGGAACACGAAGGCGTCGAGGGGCGCGGCGCGGCAGGTCGTCGCGTTGGCGAGGCGCGCGCAGTCGACGAGCGTGTCGCCGAGCGTCGTCTCGTAGGTGTCGACGTGAAAGGCGGCCGCCGTCGTGGCCCAGGTGGCGGTGCAGTTTCGCATTTTGTTGGGGTGCTACGCTGCGGTGGCTGCGTAGGGCACAGCTTTCACCCGGGCTGCCGCGCCCATGCCCGCGTAGGGCACAGCTTTTGCCCGGGCTGCGCCGCGCAACGTATCCAGCTTCGTGTCGAAGAGCCGCGCCCTTGGCCAGCGCTTCCTCGACGCGCGACAGCAGCAATTGCATTTACCAGATGACGGTGCTAGCTTCTTCGCGCAGCGCGTTGCGCCATGCGTTCGCGCGCGCCGGAGCCCCCGTCGCCCGGGGCTCCGGGGCCCTGTCGACATCGAGTCACGAAATCTTCCGCGGCGACGACGACCACGACAACCTTCCCAAGGTCAAGCGACGCGACGGCAGCGTCGACGTGATCGACAACAAGCGCGCGTTCGTCGTGCGGCTCCGGCGCCCGCCCGCACCCCGCCCCCGCACCTCGCGCGCGCGCGCGTACCCCCGCCGCGCCGCCGCCGCCGCGCGCGCCGCCGCCGGCGAAACGGAGCCGCGTATCCGCCGGAACGCCGAACCCGCGCGCCGCGCGGGCGCGCCGCCCCACCCTCCAAAACCCTTAGGACTACGAGCGGAACCCGGAGCCCTACCGCGAGCCCCTGGAGCGCGTGCTGGACTGGGGCGAGATCAACGCGCAGGACGGCCACGACGAGGTCGAGCGGACCGTGCAGGCCGCGCGGTGCATGGACTGCGGCACGCCCTTCTGCCAGACGCACACGGGCTGCCCCGTGAACAACCTGATCCCTGAGTTCAACTCCCTCGTCTACCAGGACCAGTGGCGCCAGGCGCTCGACCGGCTGCACCAGACGAACAACTTTCCGGAATTCACGGGCCGCGTGTGCCCCGCGCCCTGCGAGGGCGCCTGCGTCGCGGGGCTCGTGGACTCGCCCGTGACCATCAAGAACATGGAGTACTCCATCGTCGAGCGGGGCTTCGCGGAGGGCTGGATCGTGCCGCGCGTGCCCGAGGTGAGGACGGGCTTCTCCGTCGCCGTCGTCGGCAGCGGGCCCGCGGGGCTCGCGGCGGCGGACGTGCTCAACCAGGCGGGCCACAAGGTCACGGTCTACGAGCGCGAGGACCGGCCGGGCGGGCTGCTCATGTACGGCATCCCGAACATGAAGCTCGACAAGGACTCGGTCGCGCGGCGGATAGATCTCCTCTCCGAGGAGGGCATCGAGTTCGTCTGCAACGCGGAGATTGGGGTGAACGTGGACGTGGACGTGCTCCGCGCGAACAACGACGCCGTCGTGCTCGCGACGGGCGCGACGGTGCCGCGCGACCTGCCCGTGCCGGGCCGCGAGGGCAAGGGCATCCACTTCGCGATGGAGTTCCTCACGGCGAACCAGAAGCGGCTGCTCATGACCAAGGAGGGCACGCTCGAGTCGACCTGGGACCGGGACACCTTCGTCACGGCCGAGGGCCTCGACGTCGTCGTCATCGGCGGCGGCGACACGGGCACGGACTGCATCGGCACGTCGATGCGCCACCGCTGCAAGTCCGTGCTCAACTTCGAGCTCATGGCCATGCCGCCGGACGCGCGGAGCCCGGACAACCCCTGGCCCGAGTGGCCCAAGGTCTTCGGCGTCGACTACGGCCACGCGGAGGTCGCCGCCGTCTTCGGGAAGGATCCCCGCGAGTACGGCGTCATCACGACGGAGTTCGTGCTGGACGACGACGAGCGCGTCAAGGCCGTGCGCACGTCGGACGCGAAGCTCGGGCCCGGCGGCGTGGAGCTGATCCCCGGGTCCGAGCGCGAGTGGCCCGCGGACCTCGTCATCCTGGCGATGGGTTTCGTGTCGCCCGAGCTCACGGTGCCCCGGCAGCTGGGCCTGGACACGGACCAGCGCGACAACATCCGCGCCGAGTACGGCGACTACCGGTCGTCGCTGGAGGGCGTCTTCGCCGCCGGCGACTGCCGCCGGGGCCAGTCGCTCGTCGTCTGGGCGATCAACGAGGGCCGCGGCGCGGCGCTCAAGTGCGACGAGTACCTCATGACGCGCTCCAACGCCCAGGTGCTGTCGTCCATGTGAGCGGGGGGTTCACAAGCACGACCCCCGCTCCCAAAAGTCCCCTGTATAATCATCTACTCCGGCGCGTGTTCGTCCGTCCAGTCGCCCGCGAGCGCCAAATCCACGGTGACCTTGGACGCGCGGTCGCCGAGGTCCGCCGTCGCGACCTCGACGACGCCGAGGTCGCCGCCGGCGATCCGCAAACCGTTGGACCGCCACGTCGCCGCGTGCTCGTCCCGGAGCTCCCAGCGGACGTTGCACTTCCAGTCCTTGTGGCCCCGGAGGAACTCGACCTTCTCGGCGATGCCCATGTCTTCGAGGTCCTGGAGGGACCCGGCGGACGGCGCGGCCATGGCGAATCCCTCGCCGAAGACGGTCTTGGACCGCCGCATCATCTCGTCGTCCTCTCCGCCCCAGCCCCAGTAGTTGTTGGGAAAGCCGTTGATGCGCTCGAAGTCGCCGGCGCTCCAGGACGCGACGCCCCCGAAGTAGTCCGGGTTGCCGCTGTAGCGGTCCCAGACGCGCGCGACGTGGCACGGCGCGCCCGCGCGGGGCTTCGCGCCGTACCACGGCCCGAGATCGTCCGACGGCAGGAGGTCGACGTCGTGGAAGACGAACGCGTCGCAGCCCGCGCGCTTCGCGAGGACGTAGCCGCAGTTCAGGAGCTGGCCCCGGTTGAACTTGCGCCCGTCGGCCGACTGCTCGACGACGAACACGCGGTAGTCCGCGCAGTGCTTCGCGAGGAACGACGTCACGTGCGGCACGAATTTGGCGAGGTGCGCCGCGCGCTTCTGCTCGACGTGCGCGTCGCGGAAGGGCACGACGACGGCGACGCGCGCCGCGCGCGGCCCGGGGCCGCCGTCGTCGTCGCGCTTCCGCTTCGCGCCGCGATCGCGCGGCCGGTAGCTCGGCCGGGCGCACGCCGCGCCGGGCGCGGGCGCGAGCGCCGCCGCGTCCACGGCGAGGAACTCGAAGGCGTTCTCCGGCGCGCACAGGACGTGCGACGTCGCGCGCTCGCACGCCAGGCGCTCGACGGCGACGACCCAGGCGCCGCCGCCGCCGGGCACGGCGTACTGCACGACGCCCACGCGCCCGCGGAAGCCCGCGAAGGCGTCGCCGGGCGGCGGCGTCGTGACCGTGACGACGTCGCCGGGCGCCACCATGCTTGACGGCGCGTCGGGGAAGCGCTGCGTGCGCCTCTGCCGCGGCGCCGACGCCGCGCTCTCGACGCTGCGCCTGCTGATCAGCGAGCGCTGCAGCGCGCTGCCAGTGCCACAACGCCTCGCCTCGACGACTCGTCATGCGCCGAGGCACGATGCGCCGGGCGCTCATTTTTGCCGTCGCCGCCGCCTTAGCCGCCCTCGCGTCCGGCGACGAGTCGATAAACTTCTTCTCCGTCGCGGCGTCGTCCGAGGAGGTGGCGCTCGCGTTGTGCGCCTGGCGGTCCTACTACATCTCCCTGCGCCCTCTCGCGCCGAACCTGCGGTTTTTCCTCCTCGCCGGGTCGAGCGTCGACACGGGGCGGACCTGCGTCGCCGCGTCGGCGGCGCTGAGCCGCGCGAAGCCCCACGGGTGGGAGAATCAGACGGACGACTGGATCAGATGCCGCGTCGTCACGGCGGGCCGCTTCGGCTGGCACCGCGGCGACGACTGCGCGCCGGGGCAGGTCCAGGGCGCGACGGTCACGATCATCCGGCCGACGGCGTTCCCCCGGGGCGTCGAGCACATCGCCGCGGTCGGCGCCGGCGCGGCGGAACCATTCGTTTCACGGGGGGGGGACGTCTTCGTTTCACGGGGGGAACGTTTTTGCGAGAGACGGCGTCGCCGGGGGTCGACGACGCATGTCTCGCAGGTCACCGCGCGCGCGAACAAGAAGTACGCGAACAAAGAGGAGATCTCCTTCGACGTCATGCGGAGCGCGCCGGACCACTGGCTCCTGCCCCTCGGCGTGTCGCGCGCGTTCTCCGTGGACCACGACGTGTGGTTCGACGCGTCGGGCGGCGCGGCGGCGCTGTCCCTCGACGCGGCGCTCCGGGGCGTCGCCGCCACGCACGACCGCGTCGCCGTCGGCGTCGCCTGGGACCGGGGCTGCTTCCCCGCGAGCGTCCTGGGCATCGACCTGCCGCGGTACTGCGCCTCGCGACGGCAGCGCGCCGTCTACGACGCGACGGCGGCCCACGTCGACGCGGGGCCCCTGTGGCCGGGCCTGACGGTGCACCAGCCCCTCGTCGTCGCGCTCGCGAACGCGACGGCGGTCGTCGACGTCGTCCGCGCGGCGCCGCGGCCGCAGGCCGCGGAGGCCTGCGGCGACGCGGGCCCCATCCCGGCCTACGCCGCGCGGCGGTCCTTCCTCCGGGACGGCTGCAACGCGCTCGCGGGCGTGGCCCACGGCGACCACGTCGGCGCGGCCTTCCTCGCGGCCGTCGAGGCGACGTTCGGAGGCGCGTGCGTCTGCGCGAGCCGCGACGCCGCGGCCGTCCGGCTGACGAAGAAGCGGGGGAAGTCGCACCGCGCCTTCGCCCACGACGCGACGCGCCACGTCAAGCACGACGGGAAGAAGCGCCCGGCCCACGGCGGGGAGGTGTAAACTCGTTTGTTTGCCCTCGACGTTGAAGGTCGCTTGCACAGTGAGCTTGAGGACTGAGTCGATGGCATCGATGACGGCTTGAGTTCTTCAGCCGTGGAGGGATGCGCATCGTCTTTTGCTTTGCCATGCTCGGCGCCTTCGTTCGCGCCCTCGTGCGCGCGCCCGCGCGGCGCGTCGCGCGCGCCGTGTCGCACCTCAACGCCGCGAGCGCCGGCGGCCTGCGGCTGCGCGACGCGGCGACGAAAGAGGTCGTGGACACGGCCGCGGGCCACGGCGCGTCGCGCGACGACGGCGTGCTCAAGTGGTACGCCTGCGGCCCGACGGTCTACGACGCGACGCACCTCGGCCACGCGCGGACCTACGTGACGCTCGACCTCGTGCGCCGCGCGGCGACGGCCTACGGCGGCTCGCGCGTCGACTTCGCCATGGGCGTCACGGACGTCGACGACAAGATCATCAATCGCGCCAGGGAGCTCGGCCTGGAGCCCCTCGAGCTCGCGCGGCGCGAGGAGGCGAACTTCTTCGAGGACTTGGACCGGCTGGGCTGTTTGCGGCCCGACCGCGTGCTCCGCGTGTCGGAGCACGTCGACGACATCGTGGCCTACGTCGGCGACATCGTCGACCGGGGCTTCGGCTACGCGACGGAGGGCGGCGACGTCTGGTTCGACGTGGGCAAGCTCGGCGACGCCTACGGGGCCTTTGCGGAGGGCCGCGGCACGTCAAAGGCCGCGGCGCAGGCGGCTCTAGAGGCCGAGGACAAGGCGTCCATCTCCACGAAGAAGCGCGACGGCCGCGACTTCGCGCTCTGGAAGGGCGCCAAGGCCGGCGAGATCTCCTGGGACTCGCCCTGGGGCGCGGGGCGGCCCGGCTGGCACATCGAGTGCTCGGCGATGACGCGGGCCACGTTCGGCGACGCCTTGGACCTGCACGCGGGCGGCGTAGACCTGGCCTTCCCCCACCACGAGAACGAGATCGCCCAGTGGCGCGGCGCGTCGGGGGATCTGGAGGGGGTCTGGTGCCCCTGCTGGCTCCACACGGGCCACCTCCACATCGAGGGCCGGAAGATGTCGAAGAGCCTGAAGAACTTCGTGACCGTGCGCGAGCTTTTGGACGGCGACGACGCCGTGGACCCGGAGGACTTCCGCCTCTTCTGCGCCATGCACCGCTACGACGCGACGATCAACTTCAGCCGCGCGAAGCTCGACGAGGCCGCGGCGGTCCGGGCGCAGCTGGCGGCGGCGCTGACGGCCGCGCGCGGCGCGCTCGAGGGGAAGGCGTCCCCGGGCCGCATGCCGCCGGCGGCGAAGCGCTGGGGCGCGGGCGAGGCGGCGCTGGAGGACGCGCGGCGCGCCTGCGAGCGCGACGTCGCGGCCGCGCTCGTCGACGGCGCGGATCTGCCCGCGGCGGTGTCGGCTCTCGCGAAGCTCGCGACCCGAACGCGCCAGTACGTGCTCGACGCGCGCGCGGCGAACGCGGCCGTCGTCCCCGAGCCCCTGCGCGGCGCCGCGGACTGCCTCGCGGCGACGCTGGAGGCGCTGGGCCTGCCGGCGCTCGCGCGCGCGGGCGCGCCCGCGGCCGCGGCCGCGGCCGCGGGCGCCGAGGCGCCGGCGGCGGGCGACGCGGGCCTCGACGCGCTCCTCGCCTTCCGCGCGGACGTGCGGACCCTGGCGCTCGACGCGCGCGACGACGAGAGCCGCGACAAGCTCCGGGGGCGCGTCCTCGGCGCGTGCGACGCCGTCCGCGACGCCGACGTCTTCGTCGACCGCGGCGTCGCGCTCGTGGACCTCCCCGACGGCTCGCCGACGCTCGAGCCGCGCCTCGCGGCGGCCCCCGCGGACGCGACGCCGAAGCCGAAGCCGCCGCCGCCGCAGAAGGCCGACCTCAGCGACGTGCCGCCGGCGGAGCTGTTCCGCAGCGGCGAGTACGCGGCCATGTACGCGTCCTACGACGACGACGGCCTGCCCCTCACGGACGCCGACGGCGCGCCCCTCTCCAAGTCGCAGACGAAGAAGCTCAAGAAGAAGCGCGACGTCCACGCGAAGAAGTGGTCCGGCGCGGCCAAGGTCGAGGCCTAGGAGGCGCGTAAGCTGGGACACGACGCCTCCGTGAGTTACGCGCGCGGCATCCCCGGGGGTACCCCCCATCGGCACTTCGAATCGGCCTGAGATAGAGAGCTTAGGATCAGAGGAAACCGGACTTCGTGATGGGGACAAAGTAGGTGGCGAAAAGCGAGGCGGCCGCGCGCGGACACGACGTACGCCTTCAGCGTGTACAGCGTGACCGGGGATCCGAAGAGCGAGAGCAAAATCGGTTCATCGAGGTCGTCGCCGACGATCGCGAAGAAACCGTGGGCGGTGGCGAGGTCGCGGGAGCGCCGCCGCGAGGCGGCGCTCGCGAGGTGTGACATGAACCGATCAAAGGGACGATTCGCGTGGAGGCACAGACCGATACCGACTCCCCCCACGCTAATAAAGTAAAGGATCATGTTGAGTGTGAAGCCAAACGTGCCCACGGACCTCTGGTCTGCTTCCGCGAGCACGACCGAGGCTGCGACGAATAACCAAACCACTCCAGAATAAAGGTAAAACTTGACGAAGGGCGACACAAGCCGAACGTAGGTCGATGTCGGACCCCGAAGCCGCTCGAGTTCGGCATCGAGGGCCGCGCACAGTTCGACGTCGTTCATCGTCTCGAGACCTTCGACGAGGCAGTTCTCAAGCGGCCGAAGCTGCAGATGTAAGACGCGCGCGGTCCTCGCTAACGCGATGAGATAGATCCATACGGCGAAATTTAGAAGCGAAAAGTTCGTCAACGTCATCAATCTCATGATGCCAAATCGTCGGCCGAACTTGAAGATTGCTGCCTCCTCATGGCCGTCTCGGTTCGTTTGCGTTCTCCACGCTTCTTCGATCATGCAACCCTGAATGAATGACACCACGAGGTTGAAGCAGCCCGCCAACCGCCACCCCATCGGAGTGGTCCCACTCGTCCACAGGTTGCGCCAGATTCGCGGACATTCATCGTTCGTGCAGATCGTCCTCAGGTGGTAGCCCGCGCACCAGAGGAGTGTCGCGCCGGGGAGATATAAACCCATCGTCGCGTGGCTCTGTTTTAAATCCAGCGCTTGTATCGGTGGCGTCCGCGAGATAAGGAACCTTACCTGGCTCCGGAAGGACAAGGGCGCTCCTCCGATGGCGCCCAAAGATTGAGATTGGTTCATTGCCCACAAACAATAGCCCGTAGACGCTGTGATGAACAGTGGCCACACGACCAGAAATGGTGTCAGCAACTGGCGCGTCCGCCCGCTGAAACGGAAGCCAAGCCAGAATATCCGCGTCGACGCCTCGGCCGGCGCCTGCGAGGGAGCGAAGAGTCGGAACCCTCCGCCTCCGCCAGTTAGAACACCTCCGTCGACGCCTCCGCGGGCGCGAGGGCCGCGGCGGCCGGCCGCGGCCGCCAGGCGCGCAGGAGGAGCGCCCAGGCCGCCATCCACGCGGCCATGCCGACCGCGCCCGCGACGTAGAGCGCGTGGAACCCGCGCGCCTTGACGATGCGGCCGCCCACCCAGGACCCGGCGCCGACGCCGAGATAATAGTAGACGCCGCGGAGCAGCGCCTGGGCGCCGCCCTGGCGCTCGACGGGCGCCGCGGTCCGCGCGTACTCGACGGCCGCGGACCACATGAGCGCGAAGGTGACCGCGTGCGACGGCTCGAGGAGCAAAAAGTACCAAAAGCCGCGGTCGTCGTCGACGCAGCCCGGTAAAAACGCGTAGGCGGCGCAGCGGAGCGCGAAGAGGCCCTGCGCGAAGACGAGTAATCGCCGCACGCCGAAGCGGTCGAGCAGGCGCTGCGCGTAGAAAAAAACGGGGCATTCGCAGAGCGCCGCGACGAGCACCAGCAGCCCCAGGAACCAGGACGGCGCGTCCGGGTAGCGGCTCGCGACGTAGAGGAGCAGGAAGCTCTCGACGAACGCCGCGAGGCACCCGTGGACGAAGAAGTTCAGAAAGTAGAGCGGCGTCGCGCCCGCCGCGTACCAGCGGCGCCCCGCGGGCGCCGGCGCCGCCGCGCCGGCGGGGGTTTTGGCCGCGGGGCTCTTGAACAGGACGGCGACGACGCACGACGCGAGCGCCGTGCCCGCGACGAACGCGACGAAGATCGCCGAGAACCCGAAGGCGTCGACGCCGCGGCCGATGGCGACGGCCGCGACGCCCCAGCCGAGCGCCGCCCACAGCCGCAGGCTCCCGTAGGACGCGCCGCCGCCCGCCATGTTCACGACCGCGATCGCGTCGATGAGCGTCCCCGACGAGCTCCCGAAGAACGCCTGGCCGTCGACGACCGCCGCGACGGCGGCGACGCGCGCCAGGCCGCGCAGCGACCGCCAGGGCGCGGCGAGCGACGTCAGCGCGAGCGCGAAGGCGCACGCCGCGCCGTTCGTCGCGAGGAGCACGGCCTTGTAGCCGCCCGTCGCGTCCGCGAGGCGCCCGAAGACGAGGCCGCCGGCGAACTTGGCGACCTGGGTGGACGCGAGGACGGCGCCGACCTGGGCGGCGTCGAGGCCGCGGGCGGCGAGGAAGAGGGGCAGGAACTTGGTCAGGCCCGCGCCGGCGCCGGTCTCGAAGAAGTTGAGCCAGGCCATGACGGCGTAGTCGACGCGCGCGCGCCGCGTGGCGTCGCGTTCTGCTCGCTCCTCCGGCAGCAGCGCGTACGCAGGCTCCTCCAGGGAGGCCATCGATGTGTCGCAGCGGTGCGGCTGCGGCTGCGGCGCGGTCGAGGCGGCCTCTCCGAGTCTCACACCTCTCCAGCCACACAAGAAAATGCACTTGAAGGGCAACTTGAAGGGGGAAAAGTGTGCAGATCTTGAGGGG